GCCTGGGCACAATTCTTTCCCCTGGTGCAGCTCTTGTTCCAGCTTAGGTGGTAGCTAGGGGATTCTTCATGATGGCTCCTCCACCCCTTTATATATCTTTTGCATAAGGCAGGAACCCTCTGTCCCTCTCTGGGTTTCCACCCCCTCCTTCTCAATGGAAAGACACCAGGTTAAAGATGGATTCCAATACTTCATTGCCCACTTGCCAGCACACACTTATACAAGGAGACTTACAGGTAAAACAGAGCCATCTGCAGACAATTGTCCTGGTTAATGGGAGTCATCAAGATTCCAAAGCACCATTAATGGCCCACACTTTGCATAATTACAATAGGCCCTCAGAGTTATATTTCCTATTTCTAGTTTCAGGTACAAGAGTGATACATTTATACAAATAGGATGATCACACTCAGTAGATTATAAGCTTTTGTAATGACAAGAGACGTTTTGCATGAAGCATATTCCAGTTACATTATATTCACTCATTAGCGTATTTTTATAAAATTATACAGACTGCAACGTCCCCCTCCCTCCCCCGCAGGTTCCTGGCCGTGCGCGGCACCTCCCGCCTGCTGGAGCACGTGGGCAGGATGGACGAGATCCACGGACTGCCCCCCCCGCTGGGGGCGCCCCGCAGGCACCCAGAGCTTTCCTGCGCCCCTCCTGCCCTGACCCCCGCCCCCCGGAGCAGGTGAGAGGTTGACAGGGCCCGCGACCAGTCGGGGGTGGGGAGAGAGTGGGTGGGGGGCTGATTCTCTGGCGTGTGGGAGGGGTTCATGGCGGGGTCTAGGGCTGAGCTGGAGGGGGAGGGACCGGGTTGGGTGGTCTGGCGCTGGTCCAGGGGAGGTAACCGGGCTTGTAGGACAGTGGGACACATGGGGGGGGCAAGGGCCAGTGGGGTAGTGACAGAGGCCCATGGGGGGGACAGGGACTGGTGGCGGGGGGACAGAGGGGCCCATCGGGAAAGGCAGGGGATGCGATGGGCGGGGCCAGTCCGGGGGTGAGTAGGGACTTATTAGGGGGCAGAGGGGCCCATTGAGGGCGTAGGGACCAGTGGGGGGCCGATTAGGGGGGACAGAGGGACCTATGGGGGGGGCAGGGACCGGTAGGAGGCGACAGAGGGGCCCATCAGGGAGTAGGGGCTTGTGGCTGGGTGACAGAGGGGCCCATCGGGGGGGCAGGGGCCGGTGGCAGGGTGACAGAGGGGCCCATCGGGGGAGGTGGGGGCGGGCAGGGGGCGGTGACGGGGGCCCAGCGGGGGTGGGAGAGGCCGGTGGGGGGGGGCGGCGACGGGGGGCCCATCGGGGGGGCAGGGGCCAGTAACGCGGTGACAGGGGTCCATCGTGGGGGCAGAGGCTGGTGTGGGGGCTGGGCCGAGCTGGTCTGGGCTCCCCTGGTCAGGGTTTGATGGGTCCCTCTCCAGGTGGCGCAGCATCCGCGTGTTCATCTCGTCGCCGGTGCGGGACATGCAGGGCGAGCGGGACGTGGTGCTCCGGGCTGTGCTGCCCGCCCTGCGCGCCCGTGCCGCCCCCCACCACCTAGCGCTGCAGGAGATCGACCTGCGCTGGGGCATCACCGAGCAGGAGGCACGGCAGGAGCGGTGGGTGCCCACCCTGTGGGCAGAGGGTTCGGGGCGGGGGGAAGGGGCAGGGCTGCCCAGAGGGGGCGGTAAGTGGGGCAATTTGCCCCGGGCCCCACAGAAGAATGTCGGAGGCTCCCCCTGCCTCCACCTTCCCCATCTCCCGGCGCCTCAGCGTGCCGCGTCCAGGAGCTGCCCTGGACAGAGCTAAAGTGGCGTGGCTCCAGCGGGGCCTGAGCTCCTGCCGCTCGGAGCCACGTGGTAAGGGGGCGGGGCTGCGAGCTGCGGCCGAGCTGTTTGAGCTCAGGTCCCGCTGGAGCCACGCCGCTGCAGCGCTGTCCAGGTGGCTCCTGGACACGGCCCACTGAGGCTCCGGGAGAGGAGGGAGGCAGGGGTAAGCGGCATGGTAAGGGGGCGGCGGGGGGGAGGGGGGTTTGGATAAGGGGCAAGGTGTCCCGGGGACAGCGAGGGGCAGAAGTTCTGGGGGAGGGGTGGTCAGGGGACGGGGAACGGGGGGTTGGATTGTGGGCATTCCAAGGGTCTGTCAGGACTCGGCGCGGGGTGGATAGGGGTCGGGACAGGGAGCAGGGGGGATTCGGGGGGGTGGGGTCCCGGGGTGGTGGTTGGGGAGGTTTTGGGGGGGCGGTCAGGGGACAAGGAGCAGGATGGGTTGGGGATTCTGAGGGGGGCAGGAAGTGGGTGGGGGTTTGGATAGGGGGCAGGGCCAGGCTGTTTGGGGAGGCACAGCCTTCCCTACCCTAAAGCTCATTCAGCAGTTTGAGGCTTGCAGACAGCTAGTTAACATAAAGAGCCAAGCTGTTATCTTTTCCCTTAGGGCTGCCACCCCTTTCACTTCTCAAATGCCAAATTATAATCTACATTTAATTTCAGTGCCAAAGGGAGATTCATGTCAGGGGAGGGTAGCTTCATTTAAAATTAGCCACAGTGATAGACCCAAGAGAGCCATGGGGGAGGGATCACACGAGAAGACCAATATCATACTCCACCTACCTCCTTCCCAACCCTACCAAGGGACGACCCCCCCCCCTCCCCCCGCATTCCCCGAGGCTCCGGAGGGGTTAATTCATTGGTTCTCAAACTTTTGTACTGGTGACCCCTTTCACAGAGCAAACCTTTGAGTGCGACCCCCCCCTTATAAATTAAAAACACTTTTTAATATATTTAACACTATTATAAATGCTGGAGGCAAAGTGGGGTTTGAGGTGGGGGCTGACAGCTCACGACCCCCAGTAATAACCTTGTGACCCCCTGAGGGGTCCCAACCCCCAGTTTGAGAACCCCTGAGTTAATTTACTTTTAGCACCATTCACATGGATGTGCTATTTTGAGCATTTCAGTTTTCACAACATAGGCTCATCCCAAATTCTGGAACAAGCTCAAATGCTCAGTTCGTGGAGTATGTACATAAGCTATACTAAAGACAAACCCACAGTAACCGTCTCCAGTTTGTGAGGGACCCTATGGAGCCAGTCTCTAGAAAACAGATAAATTCATGGAGGTTAAGTCCATTAATGCCTATTAGCCAAGATGGGTAAGGAATGGTGTCCCTAGCCTCTGTTTGTCAGAGGGAGGTGATGGATGGCAGGAGAGAGATCACTTGATCATTACCTGTTAGGTTCACTCCCTCTGGGGCACCTGGCATTGGCCACTGTCGGTAGACAGGATACTGGGCTAGATGGACCTTTGGTCTGACCCAGTATGGCCGTTCTTATGTTCTAACCTAAATGAACCCAAAGTTATGGAGACAGATATGAGTCAAGGAAGCCAGCAGAGTATCAGAAACCTGGAAAAGTCTCTGACTGGATGGGCTCAGGCGTTTGGTCACAAGCTGAGGTGGTTCAAAAGTTTTGGATTTTTTTAAGCAGATTTTTTTTATAGTTTCTTTAAACAATTAACACAGCAAATATTTGGCCACACACTTCTGAAACCCCAAACCATGTTCAGGTTTTGGCAGACTAATTTCAGCTTTTCAATTAAAAAACCCACAACAAATTTTGAAGGAAAGCAGACGTTGTCCGTGATTTTTTTTCTGCTTTTTAAAAACCCCTAGTTTTTGATCCAAAAAAAGTTTTGAAGGAAACTATTTGTCCAACCCTTTTAATGAGCTTTAGTGCCTTTTAGTACTTAAAACTGGGTTTGTGCGGAGATGTGGAAGGTTTTTAAATGTTTATTTTTCCCAAGGCCGGCCGGGGGGCAAGTGGGGCAGTTTTCCCCAGGCCCTGCAGGGGCCCCCACAAGAATATAGTATTCTATAGTATCGCAACTTTTTTTCATGGAAGGGGCCCCTGAAATTGCTTTGCCTCAGGCCCCCTGAATCCTCTGGGTGGCCCTGGGAAGGGGGGTGTCTTGCTGCAGGGAGTGGGGCAGGGGGTGCTGTGCTGAGAGGAGTCTGGGGGGAACCGTGCTGAGTCGGGGAGCTGGGTGGTGCCATGCTGGGGTGGGGGGCCCCCCCTTGGTGCTGACCCCGGTCTCTTTCCCCATACAGGCAGCTGGAACTGTGCCTCTCAGAGGTGGCTCGGAGCCAGCTCTTCGTGGGCATTTTGGGGGAGCGTTACGGCTATGTACCCCGAGAATACTCCCTGCCGGACACCCCCCAGTACGAGTGGGTGAGCACTGCCAGCACCCTGTCAGTTGTATCGGGGTTGGGGGGACAAGAAGATAGTGCCCCTTGCACCCAGCTGGTGGCTGACGCCGCCCTGCAGCCCCCTCGCCTGCCAGAACCTGGCCGCTGAGCCTTCCTTCACAGTTGGTGGAAGTGGGATTTTGCTTTATTTACTCTGGGCGATTGGGTGTAGTGCTGCAGCCTCCCTCGCCCAGTCTGCCCAGTCGCTATACTGGTGGGACGGGGCACCCTGCACATCTGCCTCCGGTACCTACTGGCATTGCCGTTCTGCCACCTCACTCACGTCCCTGTGTTGAGTCACACCTCTCAGGACTGGACAGCCTGGGGAGTGGCCTGCAATAATGGGCGCGAGGCATGGTGATGTTTTTCCATGGCCAGATGATGTGCTGCTCTCACTACGCCAGGGAGGGTTCCAGTAGTTGGTCAAATTGGTGTAGTGGTGACATCGCTCCCACTAGAACAGTATAAAGCCACTGGAGGGGTTATTATGTCAGCCCATGCCTGGCTTCATAGCATGTCGGAGCCTGCCAGGGTGTCCTGTACCCCGGGGTAGAGACAGAGCTTGGGTGTCTCAGAATAGTGCTGCTGGGAACAGTGGGATCCCTTCTGGTGATGGGGTGAAGCACAGGAGAGGGTGCAAGCCTGTAAACATGCTGTCTAGTTTCACGCTCCAGAAGTGTTGCATCCAGGGACGGGAGCCTCAGAGGTGGCCAAGGTCAATGGGAATCCCCCAGTTCCGCTGAGGTTGGTGGGTGCGTTGGGATCCAGGCTCACTTCAGCACAAAGCTCTTTGTGGCTGGCGCTGGCCTGGGCCTGCTGGCCGTGTCCACTCAGCGTGGGGCTCTCAGATGCACGGACCCATGGTGGAGACCAAGACCTCCCCAGCCTTCCGGTTGGGGGAAGCCGGGCATCTCACTTCACAATGGCCCAGGCGTGTTTCTTCCCCATGATGCCTGTTAGTCTAACCCTGCCTGAGAGCTGTTCTGCCTGTGGGCTGGCCTTCGTTTCGTAGCACGACCGGTGGGAGCAGTGGGATCCCTCCGGGTAACAGTCTCAATCCCACCACTTGGGGGCTGATGATGGAGTCCGGTGTGCCGTCGCTGCAGGTGAAGTCGTACCCTCGGGGTCGCTCCATCACCGAGCTGGAGGTCATGCAGTTCCTCAGCAGTCGGCGCGACTCTGGTTCTGCTGCCCAGGCGTTCTTCTACCTCCGCGAGCCAGATTTCCTTGGGTAACTCTGCACCCTTTCCCCTCTAGGGGTGCCGGCTCCCATCCAGCCCCATGGCAAGGATTGGCTGGCTTGGGGGGGGAGAGGCAGGGAATGGGACATGGGGCCTTTTCCCTCTAGTGGACACCGATCCAGACCCATGGTGGGGGGCTGCTTGGCTCAGGGGGATGGGGAACAGGGCCTTTCCTCTCTAAGGGGTGCCGATCCAGCCTCATGTTGGGGGACTGGGGAACAGGGCTTGTCCCTTCTAGGGGGTGCTGATCCGGCCCCAGGGTGGGGTACTGGTTGGCACAGGGGGCCGGGGAACGGGACATGGGGCCCCTGACCTGTCTGTGGTGGGGCAGGTCCGTGCCGGAAGCCTGGAGGGCAGATTTCGTGGCAGAGTCAGAGGACGCTCAGCACCGGATGGCAGATCTGAAGGGGCATCTGGGCCAGCACCTGGGGGTGGCATCTGTCAGCAGGTAATGGGCCAGGAGATAGGTGGGTGCGGTGGGATCGCTGGGCCCCACGGTATCTCCCTCATGGCTTTGCTCTCTCCCCCTAGGTACTCCTGCCAGTGGGGCGGCGTGGCCCAGGGCCGGCCGTATGTCAAAGGGCTGGAGGAGTTTGGGGCCCGGGTGCTGCAGGATCTGTGGGGCGCCCTCCAACGTCAGTTCCTCCAGGTAACGCGACTCGCTGTCCCTGGCGGGGAGGGAGTGGGGCCTAGCGGTTAGAACGGAGGGTGCTGGGAGCCCAGACTCCTGGGTTCCATGCTGACGCCTGTCTCTGCCCCCCACCTCCAGGCTGAGTCGGAGCCCCCTGGGGGCGAGGAGGAGGAGGGGCAAGAGCTGCAAGATGCCTTCCAGGACTTCCAGCAGCGCCAGTTCTGTGCCCGGGGCAAGCTGCTGGGCGCCGTGGCCGGGCGGGTGCGTGAGGGCCGGCCCCCCCGCCGCGGGGCAGGGGGCGGGCTCTACGTGGTGACGGGTGCGCCTGGTGATGGCAAGACTGTCTTCATGGTGAGGACGGGGGGAGGGGTCTGCATGGGGCCTGAGGGGAGGGGCCTTGGGGCACCCAATGGGGGGAGGGGGTCTGGGGGCAGAAAGGGGCGGGGCTTGGTGATGGATTGTAGGCAGGGCCTGCAGGGGGCGGGGTGTGGGTCTGCTGCCTAAAGCCTGGTGGGAAGGGCCTGAAGGAGGGGGTGGGACTTGGGGGGCCAGGAGGGGGTGGGGTCAGGTCTGTTGCATTAGGCCAGGTGAGTGGGGCCTGGAGGAGGGGGAGGGGCTGGAGTGGGTGGGGTCTGGCTGTGCTGGGTTGTGGTGAGAGGGGCCTGGAGAGGCCCCGCCCCCAGCTGACTCACTGTCCCTTCCCCAGGCGGCGCTGACGCGGGAGCTGAGCGCCCATCCCCCTGCCCGGGACGCCTCCCCCACCCGCTGCCTGGTCGTCTCCCACTTCACCGGGGCCCGGCCGGACCAGGCCAGCGCCAGGGTAGTGCTGAGCCATCTGTGTGCCCGCCTGAGCCGTCTGCTGGGCCAGACGGCCCAGCCCCCCGCCAGCTACAGGTCAGGATGCCAGGGTTCCCTCCTGGCCCTGGGTGGGAGTGGGATCTAGTGGTTAGAGCAAGGGTATGGGGGGGCTGGGAGCAAGGGTGTTGGGGGGCTGGAAGCCAGGACTCCTGGGTTCCCTCCTGGCACTGGGTGGGAGTGGGGTCTAGTGGTTAGAGCAGGGGGGGCTGGGACCTAGGACTCCTGGATTCTCTCCCAGCTCTGGAGGGAAATGGGGTCTAGGGGTTAAAGCTGGGGGGGCTGGGTGCCCTAGGATGCCTGGGTCCCATCCCTGCCTGTCCATTGCAGGGGGCTGGTGTGCTGTCTGGAGTCTCTCCTGCCCGCGGTGGCCAGGTCGCTCCGGGGAGCCCAGCGCCTGGCCGTGCTGGTTGATGGGGCTGACCAGATCCACGGGGACAGTGGGCAGCCCGTCTCCGACTGGCTCCCGGTGCGGCTGCCCCCGGTAAGTCGAGCCCCCCCTGCCCGTGGGACCCCCCCTCCTGCCAACCCCACCACCCGCTCAGCTCCTCTCTTCTCCCCCCAGCGCGTGAGCCTGGTTCTGAGCATCGGCGAGGGCTCTGGACTCCTGGATTCCCTACAGCGACGGGCGGACACAGTCATCATCCCCCTGGGGTCCCTGGACCCCTGCGACCGGGCTGGGCTGGTCCGCCGGGACCTCGCCCTGTACGGCAAGAAGCTGGAGGAGACGGCCTTCAACAACCAGGTGGGGAGGTGCCTGGGTCCTCTGGCGGGGGCGTGGGGTCTAATGGTTAGAGCGGGGGGGCTGGGAGCCAGGACTCCTGGGTTCTATTCCAGCGGTGGGAGGGGAGGGAGGTCTAGTGGTTGGAGCAGAGGTGGATTGGGGGGTCAGACTCCTGTGTTCTCTTCTGCTCTGGTTGGGTGGGGCAGGGGCCCTGGCTTTGGCCCAGGGGCTCCCTGCCTGCTGAGACCCCGTCTGTCTCTCTCCAGATGCGGCTGGTGCTACTGAAGCGCGGTGCCCGGCAGCCCCTCTACCTGGCGCTGCTCACCCAGGATCTGCGAGCCTTCACCGTCTATGAAAAGGTGCCTCAGTCCCGCAGGGAGACCCAGTCATCTGGGCTGGTGGTGCAGGGCTTCCCCTTCTAGGGAACCTGGGGGAGGGACCGGGACGGAAGGGGACCCAGACATCCCGGCTGACGACACGGATCTGTTCCCGCGAGGGACCCCAAGGGAGAGGCCAGGATGGAAGGGGACCCAGGCATCTGAGCCACCAGCGTGGGTTTCTGCCCTCTAGGGACCCCAAGGGAGGGATGGGGACAGAAGGGGACCCAGGCATCCGGCCCTGGCATGGGGCTCTCCGGTCCCCTCAGGGTCCTGTGTCCCTCCCTCCAGGTCTCGGAGAGGATCCAGACGCTGCCCCCAGCGCTACCTGCCCTGCTCCAGCACATGTTGGGCTGCCTGGAGCAGGAGCACGGGGCCGAGCCAGTGACCATAGCCGTCGCCGCCCTCTGGGCCAGCAAAGACGGTAAGAGACAGCTCGAGGTGCTGGGGGGTGTTAATCGGCATTGCTACCAGCTGCTGCGCCCCAGAGCTGGCTGCATCTCAGCACCAGGCGAGTCGTCCCTGGGATGGGAATCCCTGAAGATGTGTCCCTGACCCTCACTCCTCTGTCCTCCGCAGGCCTGCTGGAGCGTGATCTCCTCGCTGTGCTCACCATGTGGATGGAGCTGGGCGGGGCGCCTGTCACCTGGGAGAGAGGCATAGCTGCTGGGGGCCGCGCAGCGACCATCCCCAAGGCCCCGATCTATTCCCTGATGAGGAGCCTGAGGGGGTGAGTGGGGGCCAGGGCGCCTGGGTTCTCTCTTGGCTGGGGGAGGGGAGTGGGGTCTAGTGGTAAGAGAAGGAGGACTGGGAGCCCAGACTCCTGGGTTCTCTCGGGCTCTGGGAGGGGAGTGGGGGTTGGGGGCTGGGATCCCGGATGCCTGGGTTCTCTCCAGACTCTGGCAGGCTCCCAGGACCTGGCGCCGAGCTCCGTCGCTGGCCGGAATCTAGTATTCTCTGTCCCCCGTCTGTCCCCCCAGACTGGCGGGGGTGTGTGGGGCCCCCTCGGAGGCCCCTGGCTCGCGGCTCCACCTCTGCGGTGCCCCCCTGCGGACGGCGGTGGAACGGCGCTACCTGAAGGAACCGGGCCTGGAGCGAGCGGTTCACACTCTGATAGCAGGTCAGGAGGTCGCCCCGTGGGGGGCTCTGGGGTGGTGTCTGGGCTGGGCCTGTGACCCCCCCCCCGGCCAAGGGGTGCTGAGCATTGTGAGTGACAGTCTCCCCCACATCCCCAGCTCATCTCTGGAAACTCTGCGACCCGGACGTGTCCCGGAGCTTCCAGGGCAGCGAGGCTGGGCCCCTGGCGGCTCTGCCCTACCACCTGGTGGGTATGGGGCACTGGGGGATGGTGGGGGGGGGAGCTGGGTGAGGGCAGGGGCGGAGCTTGGCAGGGGGCAGGATTGGGCGGGTGGGGTGAGGTGGAGAATTCGGAAGTGGGTGGGCAGAGGCTGGGCAGGAGCAGGGCTGGGTGAGGGGCTGGGCATAGGGTGGGGTGAGGCGGGAGGCAGGGGGTGGGGCTTAGCGTAGCAGGGGCTGGGGCTGGGTGGGCAGCACCCCGAAGTGACCCTGCTGTCCCAACAGGTCTGCGCTGGACGCCCCGACCTCCTGGGCTCCCTTCTGACGGACCTGCGCTTCGTGGCTGCCCACGTCCGCCTGGGGCTGCTGCCTGTGCTGGGCCAGGCCTATGCCCTGCACGGTGAGCGGGGTGGCCTGGGGGTGGGGGGCACCTCTGGGGGCTGCTAGTCGGGAGCCAGCCCTGTGCGGCGTGGGGGCTGTCCACAAGAGCATGGGAAGGTGCCTCGCTGTAATGGGTGGGGGGAGCTGCTGTGGGGTCCTGGGAGGCTGGGGGCTGCTGTTGGGGGAATGGGAGGCATGTCAGTGCTGCCGGAGGCACTCCCAGTGGGGCTGGAGGCTGCCGGGGGGAATGGAAGCTGGGGGGGCTACCAGGGGCTGAAATGGGGCTCCCAGGGTGCTGGGGGCTGTTGTGCCCCTGACAGACGTCTCTCCCCACAGCGGGCAGCGCCCAGCCCCCGGGCGAGGTGGGCGCGTTCCGGGCGATGGTGCAGGCAGGCGCAGCACTGCTTTCTGAGAACCCATCCCTCCTGGCCCAGCTGGCAGCCAACGCGCCTGATGGCTCCTCGCTGGGCGCCCAAGCCCAGGCCCTGGCCCCCACGGAGGGGCGCCTGCTGCTCTGGCGCAACAAGGCCCAGGACGCCCCTCACCCTGACAGGTAACGGGGCCGCTGTGGGTGGGAGGGCCCATGCCCTTCCTCCCGCCTCTGGATGCCTGCCCCTCCTCCCAGGTGCCCACCTGCTCCTCCCCATGACCCCCTACCCATCACCCCTCCCACCCAGCACCCGGGCCTCACCACCAGGCCTCACCATGGGCCCCGGGCGCCTGCCCTCTAGGGCTCCCACTCAGCTGGGCTCCGGCCCTGCTCCCAGCTGCACTCAGCTGGGCTCCGGCCCTGCTCCCAGCTGCACTCAGCTGGGCTCCGGCCTGGGGCGCCTGTGCTGGGTTGGGGGGATCCTCCTGTGACCTGGGGGGGATGGGGTGTGTGGGTCCCACGGACTGGGTGGGAGGGGCTGCAGGGCTGGGAGCCTGGCGGGGGGGCTGCGTATCTCTACCCTGGGGGGGGGAGGGGCTGGGTCCCTGTGGGACTGGGGGGCTCCATTGGGGGAGGGGAGGGGTTCCTGGGGGGGCACGGTGTCCTGGGTGGGGGTGCTGCCTGTCTCCGAGCTCTGGGGGTGGGCAGCACTGGGTTCCTGTCCGCTCCTGGGCCTCGTTCCCCCCTGATCTCCTCCCCCCCACCTCCAGCGTCTCCCTGGCCCTGCCCACGTCCCCCACCTGTGTGGCCATTTCCCCCTGCGGGCGCCAGGCTGCCGTGGGCAGCACCGATGGGACCCTGCACCTCCTGGACATGCAGAGTGGCCAGGTACCGGGGGAGAGGGCAGGGCAGATTCAGGGGATCTCTTGCCATGGGAGGACACTGTGGGGCTGGTTGGTTTGGGGGCAGGGGCAGGATGGGGAGGCGGGGGGGCAGGGTGGGGAGCTGGGGACAGGCTGGGGGCTGGACAAGCTGGGGGGCAGGGGAAGCTGGTGGACCGGCAGGGGGCTCTGCAGTCTCACCCCCGCCCTTCCCCCAGGAGCTGAAGACCCTGCTGAGCGGTGGCGCTGGAATCTCGGCCTGCGTTTTCCTGGCTGATGGGACCGTCTGCCTGGGCACCTCCGCTGGGGGACTGGAGACCTGGGGCCTGCATGAGGGCAGCAGGTACTGCCAGGGGGGCTGCCCCTCTGGGAGCGCTGGCTGTGGTCCAGCCCGGGGGGCAGCGGGGGAGCTGATTTTGGGGGCAACGGTGGGGACACCACATGACTCTCTCTCCCTTCCAGGCTCCTGGCTACTGATGCTCACCAGGGCCAGGTCACAGGCTGCTGCGTCAGCCCTGATCGCAGACAGCTGGCCAGCGTCTCCCTGGATGGGCACCTGAAGGTACCGGCTGTAGTCACTCGCCCCTCCCG